GCCCTGGTTTTTGTTCCTCTACAACATCAGCATCCAAATATCACAAAGACTTACAGGCTGGACAAGTGCTTTCCCAAAAGGAAAGCAGAGTCAGTCTAAGGGATGTTATTAGCAGAGGGTGAGGAGCCCTGGAAGGGCACAAGATCAAACATGACTTGGAGAGGTTTCCTGTGACTCTGTGAATGGCCCAGCAGAAGCCAAGTGCTCCCATCTCCCATCCAGCCTCAGCACTGCCCATGTGGCCCCCAGGAAGGCCAGGCTGCACTCAGGTTTTGCTCAGGTCTTCCCACACGACAGTCTTTGTTCCATGACCTAAATGAAATCAATTTTACAACAGTTCTCCCCAGGACACTAATCTTATTCACTCACCCATCATCTAAAAGATTATACCTGCTCTCCAGCTGTGGGGCTCTGGGAGGAAGCACAAGGGATTTCTGAGCAATGAGGGGCTTATTTTTAATACAATTCCTTGATGATCCCTCACAAATTTGGGGGGGGGTATTTTTTCAATCAAATAACTGTGCTTGAAAACATGTTTGGAAAAAATCCCCTCCAGTTCATTTGATCTTGTACCATGAGGTACTGTCAGACTGAAGTTGCAAAGGTGAGAAGTGGGAAGACCCTTGGAGTTGGTCCCTGCGGGGAGAGAGCTGCCTGTGCAGTCTGGCAGATCACCTGTGCTCAGGTGTAACCATGCCTCAGCCACCACCTTTGTCTTGGTGAAAGGTTCAGCTGTCAAATGATGTAAGTCAGGGTTCCTGCTATGAGCAGCAGATCCCATTTTGGGACGTCAGTGCTGACAAAAACTCCTCAGCCTGCAGGCTGAGGTCTGCGGGGAGGCAGGAGCTGTGTCTGCACACACAGCCCAACAGCAAGAGAGAGCAAGTGTCTGTGCTTTTCCTTTTTATAAAGTCCTCTCAGTCTGAGAGCGGGCTGTATTTCTGTGGGTTTTTTTTCAAGGAACAAGTTAAAGTTCAGAGACCCCAACCCACCCCTCTGAGCAGTCAAAGTATCTCTCCCTGCAGCTGACAGGTCCCTGGTCCCAGGCAGGAAGGGGAATTCATCCTGCTGAGAAAGCAGCTCCCACAGACCTCACCTCTTCCCAGCTCTGGGAATGGCTGGGATAACCACAACACCTTCACACACAGACCCAACCTTGACATTAACTCCAAATATGAGAGTTCAAGCAAACTGTCCCAAAGCAAACAGGCTCTTATGGTTCAAATTGTGAGTAAAATTCCTCTTCTCTGTGATCACGCAATGCAAGGAGTAAATAAGGATGAAATACAGCTACAGTATGTGCTGTGCATGTATCCCAGAAAGGTGGGATGGAGGGAATTTAGGATTGCAAGATGGAATGCAGGATGGAACAGTAAGTCTGTAACTTAGAGTGAGAATAATCCTTCTAAAAACATCTTCCAGAACTGTTAATAGGGAGACAGGCTGTTAGGGCAAGTAGGGAAGGTTTTCTTTTGAAATGCAGAGATTGGGTATCAAAGAAGGTTCAGCAACATACACAAGAGGGAATGGTCAGGGCACCACCTCAGCACAAATGCTTCATCCTAAAATCTGTAAGAGAACTGGGTATTACTCCATTTTCTTAGGTATAAAAGAGGCAAAGGATATAACTAATTCAGAGTTACCCTACTAATTACAGTAAGTAATAGAGAAATATATTACTTAACTTGCACAGAAAAACCCAGCTCATCTCTTCATTCTCTGATCATCTTAGGTTCCACCATGCCAAGAGGTACAAAGTCAAACATGCACAGCCAGCAGCTGTTCCTCACAGTTCCTAGGATGCTAATTACATTGCCATCTTTTGGGGATATTCTAAATTCAGGCCTGCTAAGAGAATCTGCACTGAAGTGGGGCCTCACACAGGAGATGTGCAGCACAAAGCACTTTGCTCCTGCCTCCATCCTCTACCCAGATCGATGACCAGCACAGGGCTGCTCTCAAACAGCCCCTTTTTCACCACCACAAATACACAAACTTTAAACTGCAGCCAGGAGGCAGCTCAGAATGAATGGGCCCAAATCAAAAACTGTAACAGCAGCCCAGAGTTTCCCCGAGTGTTTCACGCCAGAAATAAAAACTGCGCTCCCCCCGCCTCAGAGACTTTATTCTGGGAGAAAATGGATCGTGGCTTCCTACAGCACCTGTTCCAGTTGTGTTCCCTTTGATCAGGGAAGGAGATGGGTCCTGGGCAGAGCATGCAGAGATCTTTCACTGCCTATGAACGTGGCACTGCTTCTCCCCAGCTGTGAGACGGATACCGAGTGCCAGTCGGGACCAGCAGGAGAACAGCCAGGTGAGGATCACATCCCAAGGCAGAAGTTGCTCATCACGTGCTTTTTGAAGGAAAACAAGTACATGCACATCTGTGTTTGCACACTTGTGTGCTCAGGTGCCTTGCTCTGAAACCTTCAGGAGAGTCAACTGGCTCCAGGCTGGAGTCCTTTGCCTGCATAACAGCTGCAAAATCAGGTCCTTGGAAGCAAAACCAACCAATAACCTTATATATTTTGCAGAACAACTGAACTTCCCACCACAAACCATCACTGTTCCTGTATCAGGGAGAAGGGAAGGTACTGCACAGTTAAAATCTTTCCTTTTAGGACATTCCTATTAAGAGCCACGAGGCATATCAGCATCTATCTGTTGTTTCCTAACTGTCCTGTCCTCCCTGTTTCCAGGTGCTTTGCACAGATCAGTTTGGAGAAGCTGGCACACCTGTCTAGAAGCTTGAAGGTGTATTCAGTCCTGCTGCCTTTGTTATTTTAATCTCCATATTATGCAGACACTGTTGCCTCCCTGGCTCACCTGGCAGCCATCAGCCTTCCCCTTTGCTTGGTGCAAAGCTGAGTAAATGTGACCCTGCACATAGGAAAACTGTCACATGGTACGTTCAGCACATGCACAGAGCCCTGGTAATACAAGCAAAAGTGAAGCACAGCCCCACTGCAGACCAAACAAACCCCACTATTTTAAAAAAAACTTAGTTCCTTTCAACCCAGGATATCTTCTCCTGATTAAAGCAATTATAAGAAACCAAATGTAGGGTTTTACAATGTACCACAAACATATGTAGAACACTGAATTTCATACTTCTCTTTACTCAGAAGCAAAAAAGAAGTCTTGGATCAGAGCAGATGCTAAGAAGTCTGTGTATCTCCTTCCAAAACCACTCATCCTCTTACTGAAAGATCTCCACATCAACCACATCCTGTAAACACATGTATTTATCTGCTAAATTCACATCTGAAGAGGAAAAAAAGATACTCTTTCACATAATAAAGTTACTTCCATCCCTTTTTTTGCTATGTTAGTAAGAGTGGCAATGGCAACATTTCTGCAGGTGACAACACCGTGGCAAGAACCCAAATCCCCCAAAACACAGACAGCGTGGGTGTTGTGTACTGTCTGGGCCCTGACTGAGCATCCCTCTGCTACAGGAGTGCATTATCTGTGCTCCCAGAGCGTGTTTGCCACTTGTGCCTCATCCAGAAGGAAAGCAGTGGCCACTGCGTTACTTCCCACGCACAGAAGTGGCTGATTAGGAAACAATCTTTAAAAACGTGCTCATAAACCAAAAGAGGGTGTCTGATAGAGACACCCTCCCTCCTTCCATAACAGCAGCTGAGACAGAGCCCCAGGTAGAACAGAAACACGAGCACCTGAGTTTCAGAACCAAATCTGAGGTGCAGCATCTGTTGGGGGAACACAAGAAACTCATCATGGTCCGTCTTCTTAGGAAGGGCTCAGGTTCTGAAAGAGAAGCTCCCTCACTGTTACCTGTCCCCATCACACCTGTGGCAAGATCTTTTGGTACTCAGCATATGAACACACAAATCCCTTTTCCCAGCACCTCCCTGAGCAGCCACTGCAGCCCCACCACCCCTAAAACAGCAGCTGGGCAGGACTGACCACACTTGCTCCATGTGGCATCACTCAGGGGACATCTGGGGACGTGTCTCCATCACCTGCCCTTGTTAACAGCCATAAAGTCACTGCCTCCCTACCTCCAAGCAGGAATTAGCTCCTCATGTAACACCTAAGGAGAATACAGCAGGGACATCACTAAATGCTCCCGGGGATTTCCTGGGGCACGTGGACGTTGTTACAACACTGAGACAGAGAAGCCGTCGGGAAAGGGAAGTTTTCAGCTTGTGCTTTCCACACCGAGACGAGTTTGTTTAGTTCCTAAACATGAATGAATGACATACTGTAATTATATACTACACTATGTAATACTCACTCTGGTTTCCCCTGCTGCCTACTCCGGTCACACTCTGAAAGCAGCAGGGCCTCTGCCAAAATCAAAGCCCCCTTTCAAGCCCGTTGGGTGAAGGGAACAAACAGGAGGCTCTTGTGCATAATCCCAAAGTGTTTCTCAGAGAGTTTTACATACATTCCAAACCCACTATAATTATAATTTAAAATACTGCTGCTTCAAATTGTTGTGCCTGACCTTGTCTCTACCACCTGATATTTTAGGCTCAGCCTGGAACGTGACAACTGCCAGTCCCCTCACCAGTTCTCACTGGTGCAAGGAGACCATCTCTGAACAGCTTTTCCAGTGATGCCTTGGGCCAAGGGACACACACACCTATGCTTACAGTGACCTGGAGAAGGTTAACCTTGAGCATGGCTCGTGTAGATGATCCAGGGGACCATCCCAGCCTGCCTGTTCCCACTTCCCTGCACAGCCCTGGAGCTCTCCCCAGGATCCCAACCCCATTCCTCTGTTTAGCAGGAACCAGAACCCCTTGTGCTTTTTCCTAAAGCAACTGAACGTTGCCTCTCAAGTCCTAGCCTTTGCCTCTCCAGTCCCCTTGGGAGGCAGAACCAAGATATCATCATTTTAATGGTCAAAGACCTCCCAGCTTCCTACTAACATTAATTCCTTGGTATTTGTTGCTGTGCCGTGCTGCATGTTAGCTGAATGAGCTCTTATTTCATACTGCCAATGTGCTGATGGACATCATCTTCCTCACCATCATCATTTCTCCTCCTGCTTGTCAAGCTTCTTTCGGCTCCTCTAAAACGGGCTCATCATTCCTCAGGAATCACTGGACAGGCGGTTCCAGCCCGAGCTCGTCTCTCCCGAGCAGGGATGACTGCAAAGGCACACACTGGTCCCCAGGCCTGGCTCCTGCTCTCCCGGGATCCCATTTTCTCCTCTCACAGCCGTGCCCTGCCCGCAGTCCTCCTCATCCTCCCGGCGAGCTCATGACCTCGGCCGGGCACCAGCGCTCGCCTTACACCGCGGAGCCTTTTCCCGAGTACACGACCTCGCTTTCCGTCTGATTAAATTTCATCCCCCCAGCCCTCCCGTCCCAACCTTCCCCGGCCCTGCCGAGGGCACCGAGCTGAAGCTTTCTAAGATTTTA